TTGAAAATCGTGGCTGATACATCAGTTGTACCTAGCTCAGGGCTCTCTATTTAGTTTGAAAAGTGGAAAATTGCAAAGGCATATGTCTAATCAGCCTGTCTTTTAGCGCGCTTTCTTCGTCCTTATCTCAAGAGCCGAGTTGACGCAACATTTCAAGAAAATGGTACCTCATGTGGGTCGTGGATACCTTTTCAATTTTTTGTTCTTCGGATAATTATTTTCTAAAATGGCCATGCATTTTTTTTTACATTGCCACTTGGAAAATATTTGAAAGAAATTTTCTTGTAGCAAAGACAATGCATCAAAATTTGAAAGAAAAACCATTTGGAAAAAAAAAAAAAAGAAGTCAAAATATTTGATAAAGTACTCACATACTTCACAATAAGCTTCGACAACCAATAAGGTTTTTTTCTCAGCATTTTATTGTAAATAGCGATAAACGAAAAATATTGTCAGTAAAAAAAAACATACTTTATTAAAAATCCCTGGTTAATTAAATAAAATGGTTCAAAATCCCTGAAGAAATCGTCCCCAAGTCTGCGAGCGTTAGTTATTTTTCCATTGATGCGTAGCAAAAAAAAAAAAAAATGGATTCTAGTATCTAGAATCAACAGCGATTAACTTCGAGATAGAAGAGGAAGAAAAAAAAAGACACGTTATTGTCCTACGAGGCGTGACAAATAAACGCTCGAATCTCAGCCACGCTATTGGTCCCGCGTCTCAACTCGCACGCCATACAGCCACCGATCGAAAACACAATCCACGCGTGGGTAATTTGCTCGCTAACGCGCGGGCTCCCTCCGTTAAGTAAGAATGTGTGCGGCACCTACTCGCGCAATTTAACAATAAACACTAATTGACGCGGCCGCTCGAAAAATGCCCCATCGTCTCCGCTTCACACGACTTTTCCTCGTAGATAAAACACACGTACCCACTCCGTCCCCACCGTCGTAACAATCTCTTATCTTTTATTTTTTAACTTTCCATCTCACCGGTGAGTATTCGCGTTTAGTTTCGAAAAGCACGTGTGTTTTCTTAGCGAAGGTAAGGAAGCAGGGGTTGGGGGAGAAATAAATTTCACGGTGGATCCGATGGGAATCCATTCAGGCCGTGTCGGAGAGGTAAAATATACGAATCGTATAATGGTATGCTTTCAATAACACCGCGAGAGGACGAGTGGGTGGAGCGAGGGGGGAGGGGGGGTGCGTATTCAAAACACGCTCTATTTGCCCGAGATAAAATATGAAAAGCTCATACAGCGGCCGTAAACAGTTGTACATAACGCCACCCCACACGGATATATAGAAATAAATTTCCAGTTTATATTTGAGGTGTAAAAATGTCCCTCGCATTCACGCGCGCCACCGACCAATGGCCCTTGGAAATATCATGTACACCACGCACACCTATAATTATATGCTCGCTTTATCAAATTGAAGGATCGTGGGAGGAGGCTACTCTGTGGCTTTCACGAGGGAAAAAAAAAAAAAAAAGAAAAAAACACGAGCTGCGAGGGAGAAGCGCCTACTCGCTCGATTTTACAAAAGCCATACTTATACACGAACACCTCGGAGAGGGGAGTCATGAGAAAGACCGAGAGCTCAAGAAAAGATCGCTCAGCGCTGATTCGTATTAATGGACGGCGCTATTTTCTCATTTGAGTCGGCCGGAAGGGCCAGGTTATTATTTGTCAGCTATCCCTGGCTTCGTTGGTGACGACGAGCGAGGCATGAGAAGAGGAGAGCAAAGCTCTTTGTCATCGAGTGTACGCGCCGTGCTGTTCAAGAGCGACGACTTTTCGGACGTTTTCGCATCGGCGACGCGCACGGATTAACGCAGAAGGAAGGGGGGAGGGGGGTGAGAGAAGGTAGTGTATTATTCGATAAATCAGAGGGTGGTCACGGGAGAAAATTCCATAAGGGAGCCTCGTTAATCTCTCGGGGAGTTGAAACGTTTCGCATTTTCGGCTTTCGTTTGTATATGTATTATGCTGGTGGTAGCCGGAGGAAGGAGCGGAGACGAGCGGAGTATTTACTCGTCCGACCTCGTCGCTGCTTTCATTTCCTTGGGCTTGTGTGCGCGGGCGTACGGGGCGTGCTGATGATGGTTCCGTTGATACATTGCGATGGGATTTTTTTAATTTTCGGGAGCTCTGCTTTCGTTTATTATTGTTTTTTTTTTTTTTTTTTTTCGATTAACGCTCACGCGTGGGAGGAAAATGAGATCAGGTTGCGAAAATTATTATCCTAGTTTTCGTGTGAAAAAAATGATTTTGAATTTGGTAAAGTGGATTTTCTTTTTCCAAACATTTTTACCACTCTCCAGATGATATTTGGCACGATTTGTTAATCTTTATACGCAAAAATATTTAGAAATTTTGTTTGTTTCATCCAAGAATAATCCCTCCGATTTTTCATAACGATTTTCGTGTTGAATCACTCTAAAATTCAAACTTTAGGTGAACAATAAAAAGTTGATTATCTTGTTTCAAAATTTATTCTTATCTCCACGTGATGCGAAGAACTAAGCCCTGACGATTCTCTGTATTGATGGCTCGGGGAAAAAGGTGTTATCTCAAAAAGAAGCGTTATTTCGATAATGTAGGGTTTTTCTAGCCACTGCTGAAGAAGATTCTTTTTTTTTTAAAGAAGCCTCTTCATTTAATTTGAGATATCGCCTTCTTACCTCAAACTGTCGATACCATTTAACGTAATTGGTATATTGTAGAATAAAAGTAAAAATAAATATAATAAGCCATCAAACTAAGAGCCCAAAAAATAAATCAAATTTCTCACGTACGTTTCTCGTACCTGTGAAACTTTATTCATTATTACCCTCAGGATACCACTATACGTGCAAAAGTCAGCATTGGAATCCGCATGCTGCGTCCTTTTTTTTTTTTTTTGCAAAATTACAATTTTTTTCCAGAGAAAATTCTCGAAACTAGGCCAAGAAGAGGCGAGGAAACCCCCACGTCTTGAAAACTAAAAAGAAAAACAAAGTTTTAACCGCACACAACCTCGTGCATGTATTAAAATTGATCTCGTAAATGTATACACGACTCGGTTTTCTCCCTCGATATGCATCCACTTCCTAGATCCTCGAACTTTATCGTGTACAAGAGTAGTAGTTGTGGTGATACCGGTAAAAAAAAAAAGATACCCCCTCACCTATTCAAGGAAAAGAAAGGGAAGGCTGGAGAGGAAACTTCCGATACCACGAATAAAAATTGCATATTCCAATCTTACCGTTTTCATAACACAATTTTTTCCCTGCGAGGCTCTCCTCATCGCCCCACCGGGAATTCGTGCGCCAGTTCGGCGGATGAAAGAAAGTCATACGTCCGCGAGTTTAGTATGCAATAATCGTTTGAAAGTCCAAGGGGGCTTTCTCCCTTTCCACGAGTATCCATGTATGCTCACTACTTTCTTTTTTTTTTTTTTTTTTTTTTACTTCATCTCTCCTTTTCCTATCTCTCGTTCCTCGAGTATGAAGGGAGCTAGTCCGTTGCTGCCAGCGTGGACGTAAAAGTGCGCTAGAACTGCAGGATAGAAAGGAAGCTGTGATAAAAAAAGAGACGGGGTGAGTTTGTAAAAGACTTGGACGGCGAGGGGCTGTAAAAAGAAGGAGGGCTGAGAAATACAAGAGGAGCAGGAGGTGGGAGGATGACGGGCCAAGGAATTTGAGTCCTCGGAGACGTGTGGTGATTACTCTTTGGAATGGCTGGGGGAGGAATGATTTTTTCTCTTATTCCTTTGGAATTCGGAAGAGATTTTGGTTTTGAAAAGATTTTTTTTGAGCGAGACGCGATGTTTTGGGGGGAGAAAAATTGTTTTTTATCAAAAAACTCGTAGCTGTGATGGATCGAGATCACCTGAAAGGACTAATCGTTTGATGGATGGCACAATCAATGAGATTGTGTGGGAAAAAAGGATCGTCTATAGATTTTTTATGATGGAACTATTATGAAAAGAGTACCGAATTTTTCTGGCTAGGATATTTTGGAATTATTTTTTGCTCACACCAGGTGACTAAAAATAACTGACATCATAGAAAGCCTTAAAAACTCACTTGCATACTTGCCACAACAATGACTTCACTTTGAATTGTAATTAGCTGACATTGTAAACAAGGTTGAAAAAAAAAAATAGATGCAACTAAGTTATTTTACACCAGCATAATAAATGTGGTAGTATAATAATACATAATGCTGATCACGTAAAAGTGAAAATGCGCACTCGAGTTTATAACTGTACTGTGTAAAAAACTTGTAGGTTTGTTACATATTATCTTTTTAGTTGCGTACACAATGATGAACAAAACAAAAGCGTGGTTGGTAAAATCTTTTTTTCACGGCTTACAAAGAGTATGTAGCAAAATTATTCCGAAGGAATAAAAAAAAAGACATATTTTACACAAGCTTAATGACAAAAGTATTTATTGTCTTTAAAGCAGTTTACCGACGATAAACACTTTTTGCTCTAGTAAAAACTTAAGGTCCTGCGGTAAAATCTTTTTTGTACTTACGAATGCTTTGCAATGTAAAAAAAAAAAACCTTGCGCAATCCAAAACACCCAATCACTTGGAAAATCCTGATCCGCAAATTTTTACGTCCATCTAAAATTCATGTGCGCTCCTGAACACGCAAAACAAGTCGTTACCCAACCATATACGAGCACTACGAATCCTCGCTCCTTAAACCCAACGAGGCAACAGCTCAATAATTCAACCCATAAAAGGTCAGCAGGAGCCCCAGTCATAAATGCCGCAAAACGCAAAAAAGCTACGATGATGCGGGATCGAGGCAAGGGTGTAAGTATAGTGTTCACACGACCCTTGGGACTTTAACAGGGCTCAGTGAGTACTGTCGTAACCTGTTTCGCTCCCAAGTAAGCTGTACAAAAAAGCTTCGTACGTCAAAGTAGGGCATTATTTCCCATGTATATTAATCCATTTTAAACGAAGGAAATTGATATACTCGAGTAGAATAAAAACTCACCGTCGTGCGAGTCGTAGAGATAGATGATCTTCTTCCAGCCGTAGTGGCGCACAGTGTCGATAATGGCCTGATAGTAGTCCGGCCGCATGCTTATGGCAAAGTCGAGGAAGCCGGACGATGGAGTCAGGACCTGCGAAACAGACACACAGTCCCCGGTTAATCTCCGTCCAGATTTTACCTTCCTCTTCTCGGTGGGTACACCGTATACGACTAATCCCGGGAATGGGGCGCGCGTGTTTATTGCCGCGTGCTAATAGATTAGCCTAACTTTCCATGGCCACGAGCTCGCGAACCATCGCGAGATAAGCTCCCGAGTTTGTTTGTTCACTCACGCGAGCGTCCACTAGTTGGGAGGCTTTGGGAATTATGCCTGATGTACTGGTGCCATTCATCGACGGGCCAACGACTAATTACCAGCCATAACGAGCCAAAAGTTGAAAACGAAAGTCAACGATCGACGGCGCGGCTGCGGATAGCTAAGGCTCGTTGTTTTTTTTCAATTGGCGAGGCTTTCGAGAAATTTCCCGGCAAATCGCGCGTACAACCACGCAATTATAAAGTTTCGGCGACAAATGCTAATTTTACCGCCACTTTGATGTGTCTTCAGAGGGGAGAGTTGCGCGTCTCTCGAATGGCCGATTTTAGCCACCAGAGGCTTATTATAGGTGCTCGTGGTTTGATGCTCGAATTTATGCAACTCGAAACGAGTAACGATGATAACAGCTGACGTCGGCTGGATCTTTGCTTTTGAAAGTGTCGCTTCGAGTGTGTGTCCCTTGCGGATGTTGGATAATCATCGGTTTCCCGAATCGGCAAGTGTGACAAAACGAGAGCAATCGACTATACTTGCTGACATTATCATTTTAAACGTGCTGGTTATGAGCATACTCTTATGGAGCAGTCAGCTCACCTTGACAATTCTGTCTAGGGATTTTAAAAAATTTTTTTATTTATGAATATGGTAAATGAAACGGAACGACGAGATAAACGGAATGTTATTCATTGCCCAAGAGCAATTACAATTACACGTCGACACGAAATTTTTCTGTATGGAACTTCAAATTATGCCTCATGTGATGCAATTATAATTGTAAATAACAATCGATGTAACAAAAAAAACGAAAAACTTGTAGCATTAGAATCGTTGCAATATTTTTTCCTTAAAATATTCATAAACGAACACGAAACGCAGCACTGATGAATATGTAAGCGATTGGTAAACGCGAGAAAAATCGAATCGTGTACGACTACGTGTTTTTATTTTCTTTTTATCTTCATAACTTGTTGTTAACGTTCTTTGATTATATTCAATTTTTAAAAAAAAAACGAAACGAAAGAAAAAAAAAGGTCATGATCTTGTTACATCTGATTACCTCCTGATGAATAAACAACCATTTCACACGTACGACTGATAAGTTTCAATCGAGAGTATAATTTCAACGCTGGATTAAAAAAAAAAACATTTCAGCTGCTCTGGGATCTCTAGCAAAACCGGACCACACATGAGTCACGCGTACGACAAAAGTGCCTTACCTTTTCCGGGAACCACGGAGTGACAAATGGCATCTGGAAAGTATTGCTGTACGAGTGCAGGATGTCAAAGGAGTCGGGATTCACGGCTCCGATCATCGAGTACACTCCATGGGCGAAGCGATCGCATACTGTGTAGGCACAAACAAAGAGATAAAGGTCGTTAGTACAGTAAAGGATAAACGATTGCTCGTCTTTTGTGTATCATGTAATACCTACATAATGAAATACGCAATAAAATAAGGAAAGATGAGGGAAACGGGCTTTTTTTTTACTGCAAGTCATGGCAAATTAACATGACAAAGGCTCCCTGATATATTCGCATTGCACGGGAAGGACAGGTAAATTGCACCCACGTATATTACCAGCCCCGATTTTTGCCTTTTATTTCCTTCCCTCGAGCTGTACGCGTGTGTACAAGCACACACATAAGTGCACGTAAGCGGATCGCCGTTATTGCACGGCTAGCGTTCCTCGTACATTTTATTCCTTATTTTTCTCCATAGCAGCTGCGAGTGGTGCTCGGTTTTTGTTTTTATTCCATTCCCTGCTTTTGCAAAGAAAAAAAAAAACAAAAAAATATTGTACATTCTCGTAAACAAGAGGCGAACGTACCCGTCTGTATACGAACGTCACTGGCGTTTCGTACACTGCGTGCAAAGTGTCACGTGTCAATTGTGCTTTTTTTTTTTTCTCTTTGTCGGCGCTACTGCTGTTGCCATAGCTTTTATTAAACATCAATTTCCGATATTTTTCTCGGCAAGGCGCTCCTACAGAAGCTGCACATTTGTCGTTCCGCTTGATTCCACCCCCACGATGACGGTCTGTTTTATATCGGGTGGAAATTTTACTTTTGCCACCCTCCCTCCAATGTTTGATCGTGGAGATGGTAATGGCGCAGAAGGGGACGGAGGAAAACTTTACTGTTAGCGAGAGTCGGTCAAAGTGACCATATGATTGCGTTACCAAGACTCTCTTATTCGACCCGGGCCGTTGTATAAACTTCGCACGATAGTTATTCGCATCGACTCTTACGTCCCGCTAACGGCAAACGACTACTGGAACTCTGCGAGGCTATTAATAGTGAGGCAAAAAAAAAAAAAAAAAAAGTTAGGGGGAACAAAGTAAATTAGGCGCGATTCAATTAAGCTCGTAAAACTCCTTAACGAAATCAAGCCGTCGCTTTGCAGAGTGCCCATACAAGCAGCGTGAAAACTCGGCTGTCTGTGTGTGTATATATACACAAGCCAGCGTCACCGGTATGTACACCGGCGTTTCCTCGGAGACTGTGCACAGTGGCATTTTCCCTCTGCTCACTTTTCCCATCTCTCGCTCTCGAACTCGCCGAGCAACTAACGCAATAAACGTGGCGAGTCCTTTTTTCTTTGTTCGCCCCCCCCCCCCATCACCTACTCTGCGTGCGATCGGGAGGCATATATATACACGTTGGAGTAGCATTTTCCATGCTCCATAGCGTGACGTTCCGAATTAATAAACGCTGCTCGCGTGCGCCGAGTGACACGGAGTTCTCGTGTCCTCTTTTTGCTTCTGGGAGGAAGGAAAAGACCCCGTATGAACACTGAAAATTGTCAGACCGAATGAGATTTATCACCAGGCATTGGTGCATTTTTAAATGCTTTAGGTAACAATTTTTTCCTTTATTTATTTAATTTTTTTTTAAATAATTTAATTTTACGTGTTTCAGTTGTACTGCAAGTAAATAAACAGGATTGTACGTTGAAAGAGAACTGTTACTTTATTCCCGGAAACTGTGTGGTACAAAATTTTTTTGTGTCAAGTTGTTGCTTCCTTTTGGAAAAGCAACTTCATTTACGAGTGTTTTGAAACATTTTTTAAAGTAACCAAGCAAGTTTTATTACAGCGGAAGTATTTAGTTTCGTATACATACTATAACGTAAAGTTCTGATGTCACTTTCGGCTGGTACAAAGAAAAAAAGCATCGATGTAGAGCAAAATATTTTTGTTTATGAAGAAGCAGTGAGAGGGATGGGTATAAGCAGTAGCACACGCCACGTAAAAGCTCCAGTGCGGAAGTGAAAAATAACCATTTGCAAGGCAAATAAATTCGTTTGGCTAAAAAACAAAAAAAAAGAGAGGGGGGGGTGAAAAAGTTCACTGTGGTTATTTTAGCTAAGAGAAGTACCGTTGCACGGGGCTGAATAAAAGCCGAAATGGCTACAGAAGCCGAGGGCACTCTCCTACGCCCTGCCCGCCTGATCCTATTTTTCGATCTTTCAGGTAAGATGCTATTTGTCCGCTCTTCGCTGCGGAAAACCCCTTTTCACCTTAAAAATCCTCTTTGGGTTAGCGGGAAGAGGATTTAACGCTGCTACTGCTGGAAATTTCGACGTCGAATTACGCGCAAAACCTTACATTTCAAAAGAGTTTTTTTTTTTTTAATTTTTCATTCGTTCGTGGGTTTACGTTTACAAGAAAAAAAAAAAACGACGTGTTATAGAGGATGTAATCAGTAATAACGAGCTTTTTAATGGAAAATTGAAAAAAATTGATTTGCTCTTACGTTTCTTATTTAGAAACTTCAATTTATTAATGCATTTTTAATCTTTTTATGCGCGTGGCACGAAAAAACGTCAACTAAATATCGGAGTATCGAGTAAAGTAGCTTAATAACACGTTTTCAAAATCAAATGGCCGCTATAGCCGCTAATCCAGAAACCAATGAATAATATCAGCCAATTAGGTTGCGAGCATACAGGAATCGACAAAAAAACAGCGATATTTATTTCTAAAAGAAAAAAAAATGCGCAGCGAGGAGTTTTAGTTCCTCGTAAAAACACGGTTAATTAAAAATTCTGCGATAATACATAGATACGATCATCATGATGAATATTCGAGTTATTCTCACACTCGATTTCCAATCCTTGTACAGAACGTAATAACGTTTTGCGGTAAAAAATCAGCCAGCCGTAAAATTTATCCTCTTCACAGCTGCATTTGAAAATTAATCAAAAATACCTCTTGATCTGTTTGCTCGTAGGAATCCGTACAAATCGCAGTACGTGATTTTGTAAAAAAAAAACTCTTTAGATTTGCAACGATGAAAATTTAATTTCTGGTACTCATTTTATTTACCAGATTACTCTACCACATATAATTAAGCTTGCGAGGACAACGCTATAGCCACGTATATGAGACTCGAGGTAGTAAGATGTAGAGGTATTTGAAACAGCAGATGGAATGTCTCCGTAAAGAATGTATTTTTAGTTATCCCAAACAAATATATTATTTTAAGGAATTATTAACGTTGTTTAAATAGAATTAGTAAAATTACTCATTTAATTGAAAGTGAACTTATTTGACTACAAAAAAATAAGTTTGTTTTAGCTATGCTATCATCGTGATAGGATGTTCTTAATTCCTTAAATATTTGATAAATAAGTGGAGGCACATTATGCAATAAAGTTGCTATTGAGTATCATTTTGGATGCAAATACACATTAATCGAAAAGATTTTCTCTTAGAAAAACTTTTAGTCGAAAGCTAGTTATTATGATAATTTTTTACTTACCGGCTTACCGCATACGAACAAATCATGAGAACGTGATGATGCAAATTTCAGTATTACATACAATTAGATATTATTTGCTTCTGTGAGTGCCCACATCGTCAATTTATAATAATAAAACAGTTCTTATGTAAAAAATCTATTTTTTTTATTTATTTATTTTTTTTTCAATTAACAAATACATTTCTGCATAAGCATTTCTGCTACTAAGTACATAGCTACCTAATTTTACGGTTAAAATTACAAAAAGCTTTGAGGTAGCACACACAGGGTGTCGGGGAGAAATTTAAATAATTTAGAAGAGCATCATCCCAGGTACACACAGTACGCGTCTGTGCATAATAACCATTTACGCTATCCCTTTTTCATTATCTTTTTTTAGCCTCAATCATTCGAAAAGTCGTTGGACTACTGCTTCCAAAAGTCGTACCCTTAACTCCACGAAAGTCGCACCTTCATCGGTTGACGCTCGTCATACACATCCTTTCCATCTGTTAGTCTCCTCTGATATCTGTACAGTATACAGACACACATACACACACTAATGTGTTTATGCGCCCCATTGCCAAGAGAGAGAGAGAGAGAGAGAAAGAGAGAGAGAGGCGGAGAGATGGAGAACGTGTACATACATCAGTAGGTAAACGCGTGCGCGTGCACACAAATGAATACCCCACAGTAAGATATACCTAGTCAGGTCAACATTTATCGTGGTCCCGATTCTCCTGCTCCCATTTATATTCATGAGCATAATGGGCTCGACTGATGACGTAGGTATCCACGCACTGCAAGTATTTGGCTACTACCATTGCCTGCCTGCTACGTTGGTCAGTGCGTACACACACGTTGGTGCGTTCTGTGCATGATATCCACGTGGTTGGTCAAGTTTTGCAGCTGATGGTTCCCTTTGCACGTGCCTATAGCTATTACGTCGTCATTTATGATCCAGCCAACATGAGGGAAGGAGCGAGTCGTACATATACTGGTGGTAGCATTTGTCAAAATTTGCCAGACCTCGGACTGGTCCGATCTTGCTCGTCCACGGTCCTCCTCGCTCTACATTCGTGTCTCCTTACTCGCGACTCGTGCTTTTTTTTTCTCAAAAGGATAAATATTTATAAGGTTGCAAGACAAAATTTTCGAATACTCTTAATGATAACATCCAGCACGTATCCACTTAGTTCCAACTAGCCAAGTCTTTAGGTTGACAGAATCAAATGCAATGCAAACCATGTGATTCACCCCAACTTAAAATTTGACTCGCATTTTTTTGTCAAATGATAGTACTGAACAAGGTGTCACAGTCATCTCATGGGATTTTAGCAAACAGAACAAACTTATTGACCCTCGTATGTATGCCAATAAAGTTATTTTATACGTGTATCTATCGTTATACCTCTTCAAGATGAGAGTTCCATGTAAATCAGTAGTACAAGAGCGCGTATAGTCAGACCTTCGAATTTTTTCGCATCACAATCGTTTTTGTTTACGCCCCATTTCCCATTACATCCTTTCACAGTTACAAATATTATAACTATATCATTATTCCACTATCTTTTGCCACGAGAGTGACCGTGTATCCGAGGT